CCTACGACAAAAAAATCAAAATAAAAAATTTGCCCGAACTCTAAGAGTTAAGCCAAAGGGAATACTCTAATAAATGCCTCATTTCAACTGAAATGGGCCCGGCATGACCAGGTTGTTAAGGCGCCCGACTCGCAATCTGAGGGTCGCGGGTTCGAATCCCCGTCACACCAAACATGCTCGCCCTTTCAGCCGTGGGGGCGTTATAATGTGACGGTCAATCCCACTATTCGTTGGTAAAAGAGTAGCCCAAGAGTTGGCGGTGGGTGGTGATGACTAACTATCTGCGCTAGCCGTCCCTAATTTAGCAGTGTAAGACTAGAGGGAAGGCAGCCCCTGGTGTTGCTTTGCGCGAAATTCAGAAACAAACAAAAGCGTAACTGAGGTTAAGTTAATAATGAGTAACGTGCAATTAATAAAGTGTTGAGGCAATAAAAATAATGAAATACATACAATTAACATAGTGTTCAGATTAGAACAATAATCAGTAACGCATAACTGAGGTTAAATTAATAATGAGTAACTTGCAATTAACAAAGTGTTGTAGTAATGAAATAATCAACTAAGTATAATTAACACAGTGTTAAGTTTAAGTTAATATTCAGTAGCGGAAAATTAATACATTTATTGAGGTAATAATAATAATAATGAACCACCTATAATTAACATAGTGTTGAGGCTAAATTAATAATTAGTGATGTTCAAATAAAGGTGTTACGAAAAATATCATAAAGTGGTCTGGTTTTCTCTATCGTCTAGGTTACGAAAAATTTAAGGCACGCTCTTTACTTTCTTATTCCTTAACCAGAAACTAACAAAATACGACGACATTTTTTTTTATCTCAGAAGTCTCACTTGAAAAAAGACAACAGAAAGTGAGCATGCATATCATTTTATTTAAAGTTACTCAATACCAGCATACAAAAACCCACAACTCTGTATTGTCACAATGTCGCTTGTTCTCCACACCTGTGTACGTTATCCCTTTGTAGATACGTGCTTTCTGAAATTCAACTCGTGTAGTAAAACAGCTGTCGCAGAACTGAGATTATAAAGCGACAGAATTCAATTCTTTTTTTTTTTCTACTTGTATTCAGTTCGCTGTGATATAGACATAAATGATAAACAAAGTGGCTGCTTTTGTAAGCTCTTGGTATAGTATGGTAATAGCTATTAGCCATGCCTGAATACACGTTCATTTCTGTAACTTCCATACCTTGCTATATAAACTAACATCACATAAGTAAATTATTTTCACATATTCCTTAAAATAATACAACGGAAAGCGTTAAAAATGTTTAACTCAAGTTAGCTGATAGTTCTCGCCCACAACTATAGCTCATGTAACACAAACCCTATTCTTCAAAACGTTTAATAATTCTGATAACTGTTCTCCTCACTTATACATTGGATTTACAGTCACAAACACAGCTGGAACGAAAGTTCTAATATCGTAACGAGAAATCAATGTATACTTCATGTACAGAATGACACGACTTTCCCATTAGGTACACACAAGAAACTGGTGATATCGTACGAGAGCTACACCTTCACAAATGCAAGTGTACATGTCCAACTTTTTTCTCTAAAAATAATTCAGAGCTCAGACCAATTTTTTTTATAACTTCAAGAAGGGAGAAGTTTACATGTTCATCTAAGCAAATAATTTATGAATTATTAAAGGAACGTCGTAAAGGAACATTCTTAATTAAATTTAGAATTGTATAATTTTGGGCCAAGGCAGTGATATAATGTTTCTGCATCGTCGTGTGTTACTTCTAATCTGCGTAAAATTAATCCAGAGAGAAGAAAAACTTGATTAGCATAAGCACTTACTCTTTGCATTGGTATTAAAAGTCATTCCCCAATTAGCAAGTGTCCTACGTTGTCCAATATTATCTTTAATATATATTCTAATCATAATCAAAAAGGTACCTGAGGCTGTAACAATTAATCATGTGATTTTTTTATTCTCTTCGTTTATAACCGAGACCAAGAATTTAATACTTGCTCGATTTTTCCATCACTCAGGACACTTTTTCAAAGTATATTAGCGTTCAGTTTCGAAAAATGTAAGGTTTCATAACAGACTGAATTCTAGATTTGGTCACTTGTGTAAATCCAGGTATCAACACCACCGATGGCTCCAGCTGACTACAGATCCAATACAGTATCTGTGAATGCTCTTATGTATTTTGATTCTGCCAACTTATATGTGTATGTTATACTCAGTAAACGATGTGAAATCTCACTTAATGGCTAAAGTTAATGGTTTTATCTATTTATATTTCTTTAAGTTATACGAAAAAAAAAAAACAAGGTTGTAGGAAAACGTCCGTGTTTTTATAAAGAACATTGATTTTTCCAAAATTTTGAGACTACTTCAGTTATTCCAAATACTGTAATGTCATTATTCCGAGGACTCTAAATAAACCTGCAGATCACCGTATCAAAAATAGAACTATATGACATTTCTGATATGAAAGCCCCCCCCCCCGTGGCACATCGGTATATATGCGGACTTACAACGCTATAATCCGGGTTTCGATACCCGTGGTGGGCAGAGCACAGATAGCCCATTGTGCTTAATTACAAACAAACAAAGAAAGTGATATGAAAAAAAACAGACTATTAAAACAGTTAAATCAAAGGTAAAAGTGCATAACTTTTTTGTAAAAGACATATCGTAAATAATTATTTTTGTAAAGTTCAAACCAACCTAATGTTTACATGGTTTACAAAAATAGAAATCTTTTCAGCGATTTCAAAAACGTGTATGATTGTTTGTTTTGAATTTCGCGCGAAGCTACATGAGGGTTGTCTGCGCTAGCCGTCCCTGATTGTTTAAAACTTTAGATGAACTTTACAAACTATGTTGCTTCTGTAAAATAAAATATCATATTTATATATGCGATATTTGTATGATTGTATATATTTTCTTGTCGTTAAGCAGAAAGCCGCACAATGGGTTATCTGTGCTTTGCCCACCGCGAGTATCAAAACCCGATTTATGCACTGTAAGCCATCGAACTTAACGCTGAGCCACCGGGGGGAGTAATTGTATGATTTCTCAGCTTTGTCAGTTCAAAAAGATTTATTTTTGAAGTGTAGTTTTCAAGAAACAGTTACAAGAAGTTTAATTTGTTGTAGATTTTAATCACCGATTTTTGTCTTTCTTACATTATTGTAAAGCTTTCCAATATATAAAACTGTAAATTTTTGTCTTTGTTTGCA